TCACTGTGTGCCAGAACTTCTAAGCACTTTTCAAGTATCTATTCAATTTAATCCTCGCAGTATAACCCTGCGAGGTAGGAATAATTGTTATCCCCATTGTACAGATGGGGAAACTGAGACACAAAGATGTAAAAATAACTTGCAGAAGGTCACATGACCATTAACCCTTTGCACTCACTTGCTTTTTTCTCATCATCCACTCGACATTATCCACACTCGACATTCAAGTGCAAAGGGTTAAAAGTACAATGAGGATTTGAGCGCAGGGCAGCCTAGTGCCGGAGACTGTCCATAACCACTGTGCAATGAGGTCTCCTTCCTGTAAGCCCAGACAGATAGGGAGGACATTGGCTAGACACAGGGCCATAGAGAAAGCTCTGGTTTTAAACATATTTAATTACATTTGCTCTGGCGTGTGTTGAGTTGATGGTAAAAGCAGGATATACAAGTGAAAATGTTGTCAGGATGGGTCTAAGGATCTGCAAAGAGCATCTTGGCTGCTCTGTATGTTTCTGTGCTCTGACTTAGTAGAAAATAGGTAACTTGGGACCAGTGAAAACTGACCTTTCCTTCACTTTCTATCAGGGTGTTAATTGTTTTAAGCTCTCTTTTCTTATGATTGTTTTTATTCTTTAATGCACTGTTATATAGTTTAGGATTGAAACCAATTGTGTCAAAATTCATATTAATAAAATGAATAATAGAAAAAATACAAAATATTTATTGGAGAGCATTTCATACAATAAACATTTTACTTAGAATAGATCTTTTGGGTTTTGTTTGCATATCCACTATGAAGGAAGAGATGGTATTGTCACTTTCAATAATGCTTAACTCTCATATGACTCTACATGTTTTCTTGTCATGTTCAGATTGATTGAAATGAAGAATAAATGTGAGTTAACTCATTTTCTTGATGTAGTATAATGAAAAAAAAATTCTAATTATCATTGAGTTCCCTTTGGAAAGCAAAAGTTCACCTGAAATTGCAAGTTGAATTAAGCAATTTTGTAAACCTTCAGTTTCTTATATTTCTTTAATATCAGGAAACAGTGACTATTCTGTTTCTTGCCCAAGGCAGTTTATTAGCGTTGCAAAAGCACCCATTGTTGGAAGTCTTCCTTGCAGTCATGCCCTCCCTCTTTGGTTACCATTTTTTACTGTAGACTCCCTCTAACAATTTAACAATATCCCTGAAGTGGTGTAAATGCCATAACTTTGGCGATATCGTTAAAGAAACATTGGAAGTGACTTATCATGGTGTGTTAATCAGGATCTAATCAGGAGAGAGAAATGACACAGCAATTTGGACAGAGAAAATTTAACATAAAGAATTGTTGGCCGGGTGTGATGGCTCATGCCTGTAATCCTAGCACTCTGGGAGGCCAAAGTGGGCGGATTGTTCAAGGTCAGGAGTTCAAAACCAGCCTGAGCAAGAGCGAGACCCCATCTCTACTATAAATAGAAAGAAATTAATTGGTCAAATAAAAATATATAGAAAAAATTAGCTGGGCATGGTGGCACATGCCTGTAGTCCCAGCTACTTAGGAGGCTGAACCAGGAGGATTGCTTGAGCCCAGGAGTTTGAGGTTGCTGTGAGCTAGGCTGATGCCACGCTCTCTAGCCTGGGCAACACTGTGATACTCTGTCTCAAAAAGACAAAAAAAAAAAAAAAAGAATTGTTAACTCTCACAAAGAATTTGCACACGAGGGATTGGCTAGTAAGGAAAAGGAACTCTAAAGGAGAGAGAACTCTAGGAAAGAGAACTCTAAAGAAGATAGGAATAAGCAGCTCTAAAGGACATTCCCACTCCTAGAACTAAAAAAGCTTGACCAAAAAAGAGCTCCCCCCCACCCTGGGCTAAGTTTCTGTCCTTGCTGGATAGGGTATACTTATAAGTTACTGGATGGCAGAGGAGCTGTTATGGGTGGTCTTAAAGGAACTTTTCAGAAATATGCCCTCAAAGGCACCAGGAAAAGCTGTCTGCAGGGAAATATCTCACTGGGAGCATTCTGATACAAAACTGCCCAAAAAGAGTGTGTGGAAAGAAGCTTCTGCATTCTGGGTGCTGGGTGCTGGGTGCTGGGTGCTGGGTGCTAGGTGCTGCTGGCCACCACGCATTGCCGGAGCCTGGTGCTGGGAAAACCACTCACACGATTGCAGAAAATCACGCCAGAACCAAAAAGAAAAAACTCTTTCTTCTACTAGGTCTTCCCTGTACTCTCTGTCCACAGAGGTTAACATTTCACCAGCTGTTAAAGTAAAAAACATTTATGGAGCCCATATCCATTTTCACACAGCAGGCAGTGAAGGGTGAGTTTGAAACTAAGAGGCAATAAATGAGTAACCAGCTCACATGGGAATCTCTCCCTATCCACTGCCAAGAGTTTTGGCCAAGGGCTTTCAAAAGCTTTTGTCCTGAACTTATTACAAAATCAGCTTATTGTTTTGAATATGTAGTTTCCTTATCTTTCTATAACAACTTTTATAGAAATTGATTGTCTCTAACCACTCCTTATGTCACGTGTGTGCTTCAGCCAGTTCTTTGAAACAAAATAATTATTATTTTTCAAATTTTTTATAATTAATCGTGATAGAAACTATTGTTCACAAAACCAACCGTCACACATTTTGTTAAAATAGGGGATTTTTATTTCAGGGTGGAAATGGTTTAGGTGTTATTTTAAATATTGTAGCTAATTAACTTTCAGATGATTCTTCTCTTTGCACTACTGTTAGATTTTTAAGAAGCTCCAGGGGGAGCTGGACTGAGTCATTCTTATTTACCATACATTGTCATCATCTGGCACAGTGAATGGCACATAGCAGGTGGTCTGGGAGATTATTTATCCTTGCATGAATGAAAATAGATTACAACTACCTAAGTTTGCAGGTAAACTATTTTCATCACTAAAAAATACAAGAAATAGGCCCAGAGCAGTGGCTCATGCCTCTAATCCTAGCACTCTGAGAGGCCGAGGCAGGTGGATTGCTCGAGGTCAGGAGCTTGAAACCAGCCTAAGCAAGAGCGAGAGCCGTCTCTACTATAAATAGAAAGAAATTAATTGGCCAACTAATATATATATATAAAAAATCAGCCGGGCATGGTGGCACATGCCTGTAGTCCCAGCTACTTGGGAGGCTGAGGCAGAAGGATTGCTTGAGCCCAGGAGTTTGAGGTTGCTGTGAGCTAGGCTGACGCCACGGCACTTACTCTAGTGTAACAGAGCAAATGTCTCAAAAAAAAAATACAGAAAATAGCTGTGTTTGTAGAAGACCTTAGGTATAGAATAAAATAATATGGATACATAAAATATATAGTATAAGGCACATACCATATGTATTAAAGTACAATGAATTCTTTCCCAAGTATTCTCAAAGTGTTTTTAAAATATCATAGTTTGAGGAGCCACAGAAAACCAGTGAGAAGAAAATACCTATGGTGATATCGTATTCAAAGAGATATTTCTCAGAAGGACAGTGAGTTTGACCAGGTGACACAGTAACCAGTTCTCGAATGCAGTTGTTTTCAGGAAGTAGTAATGACTATCATCTCTGGTTTGCTAAACTTTTCTTAGTCTTGAGAGAAAGGGTTTTCTTGGAGTTGCTGCCAGCTTCATTTGTTAGCGGTACATCAATCTTGTTGGAAGAGGAAAGCTTAGAAGAATAATGTGTTTATAAGTTTTATATGTTAAAGGTGATTACTTATGAATGTAGAATTGTTATAATGAAAAAATATACTGTAGAATTGTTGTAATGAAAAAAATATACTGTTAAGGTACTCAGACTAACGTTCTACCTGCTATGTTAGCATAGCAGCTGTTAACTGCTTTGGAATCCAAAGTACCAATGTATGGTAGTTTAGTTGCCATAAAAGAAGAATATGGAAGAGAGAAGGAGAAATGAGAAGGGATAGAATGGCCATTATCCTCAGATATATCCATATACTTATCTAAAGACAGACTGTTCTTTTTTATTTTTTCTGTTTTCTTATTGTGATTATTTTAAATAGATATTTTATTATTATTAATAAGAATTATCTTTCTCCTTCCTAACAAATTGTACAGCTACTTCTTTGTCATTGGTAGGAAAAGGATACTATGAAATTAAATCTGTATTTAGATATCGTTTGTCAAGTTAATTTTGCTTAGCGTCTTTATTCAGTAGGATATAAGTCATATATTTAAAACAGTATAAATAATGCAAATGGACTCATAGCTGCTATAAGAGACAAAGGTCATGATTAATTCATATTTATTGAGATTTCACTGAGTGTATGGCATTGTATTTTATAAAGAACACTTAACTGTTTGTGAATTGCTTTCTGATACTTTTGCTCTTATTCTCGTTGTTTTTTAACTTTAAATTGAACTTGCCAGCACTCCTAAATTCTGAAACTAGGCAAAGGATTTTTTTTTTCCTCTTCTAATAACACAAGAAATAAAAGCCAAAGGATATAACTTCAACAATACCAACAATAAAACAATATCAACACAAAAAGCCTGTGGGGGCATTTGGGTGAGGGAAGTAACACAATGTATCCGTGTTCTTACTTGCCCCATTCGTTTAAATTATATATTACTGATAGAAACATTTTAAGCCTGGGCACCCAAACAAAACACTGTGAATTCTCTGTTGTTTGTGAGTTGTAACACTAGGGGACAGCACTAAAATATTCCATAGTTGTGTGTTATTGATCACTTGCATACTGTATAATAAGTAAGAGATTTTACTGTTAGAGACTATTGAATGCCCTGTTGATTTCAGTGGATGAAAAAGCACAAAGAGGAAGATGAGCCTTTCAAATCCATAATCTCAGCCTCTATGTGAGGGTGTTTTAAATAATTGAGGAAAAGCTTACAGACTATTCTTTGGTTGCAAGAAGATACTAAGGCATGATAACTTAAAGGATTCTGATTCTTCTGTTTGTCTTTTGTTCTTTTGATTCTGTTGGAGCAAATAGTTTGCTGACATTTTTATTTCTAATCTTGTTTTCCAGGCACTTTAGAAAGACATGAGACAGGAGAAAGAGCTCGAATTATTCTTAATTGTTGTGACGATTCGCTGCTTCTAAAGCCTGAATCTGTACTTCCAGTTGCCTCAGAGACACATAAGCATAAAAGTATAGAACAGAGATCTTCCAGCTCCTACCAGCTTGGGCCAATACCTTGCCCTGGTCTGCAGGTGGAGTCTTCATATAAGGTAAGTTCAAATCAAGCTGCTCTTCACAAAGAATGTTATGAACCAAATAAGAAGGGATCTGCCTTCACAAATATGTGGCACTTAAATATCAGCACAAAAACAAGAACTCAGAGACAACTGCATCTACTTCGTGCTCTTAGGTGAATGAGGATGACTTTCTGAATGGCATTATACTTGTTATGGCATTATTTTTGACAAGATAGGTTCTGGCTTATCAAAATTGAATCCACTTTATATTAACTCTTGAATGCTAGATGGTTTTCCATGGGAATCGGAAAAAACTATATTCTGTAGTTTGGATCTATTTTTATTTTTCAGTTGAGAAAATAACGGTTTGACTTCTTTTAAAAGTGCTTATTGCAAATAAACAAAAAAGTATCAGAAAAAGTAGATCATTGTATGGACAATTTCTTTTCATATACTCAGCATCTGTAGGATCATTACTCTTTAGGATTTCAAGTCTCAGTTAACACATAACAACAGAGTTCACATTTATTCTCATAAACCAAGGCAACTGGCCTAGTAGAAATTTGGACTAGCTTTATTATTTTTCACTTCTCAAGGTGATATAGTAATTTAATCTAATTTCTTTAAGGGATTCTTTTCCATCTTTTTGTCTTTATACTTCCAAGTTATCACCTCAACATGTAACTATGCCATTTATATGCATGTATCTAATGTATATTTTCATATAAACATATTTTCATTTTATCTAATACATGTAAATTTTATTGTTCAAAGACTATATTATGCTCTGTATTGTGTTTCTACTATTGCTAATGCATATTATTTTCTTATGGCTTGATAGATGAGTTGTTCTTTATGTTTCACTTTTATGAATAACATATCTATGAACCTAAAGCTTTTTTTCATCAGGATTATTTAAAAGATAGATTTTTGGAAGTTGGATTTCTAAGTCAAAAAGTTTAGCTGATTTTTAATTGCATATTGTTAACATTTTCCATTATTTTAATGGTATTATGAGGACTGTTAAGATACCATTAATAAAGATTTTAAATAAGACCTTATTTTATCTCATGTGTACATATATAGTTAGACAAAAGAATGTGTCGTCATCAAGAAAGGCCAATCGGCTGCTTAGACCATGCCTCCAAGCCGCAGATTTGGGGGCAGTGCCAGCATATCATCTTTAGCATTTTAGGTTTGACGACCTAATTTAGATTTTATCAGTGAGCCTAGGATATGTCAACCTTTTGAGAACTGAGTCACACCAACCAAACACCTAAACAATGAACATATAAACTAGAATTATTTAACTTACAATGATAAGTATAATTGGGATTCTGGCCATTGCTGAGCATGTCCTCACTGTAGCAAATCTGCGGTGGGGCAGGGGGAGCAATTATGACCGAGAGTTCCTTGATGGGCATGATGACGTCAGAGCCCTCGGGTATTCATTCACTGAGCTCTGAGGGTTGAATGCAGTCAGCTCTTCCAGACCATCAGGGTACCATCTCCTTTGGTCACAGCTGATGTATATTGGCTTTTTTTTTCTTTTCTCATTTATTCAATTGTTTTTAGGTTTTCTTTTGCTTTTTTTTCTTTTTTTTTATTATTATTATTTTTATTTCGGCATATTATGGGGGTACAGATTTTAAGGTTTCAATAAATGTTTTTAGGTTTTCAAACCATGTTTTTCATATTCTTATCTTGAAAAAGGTGATTTTTTTAAAAGGATAATTGCATAGATATGATGAAACTTCAACATTCAGAACTGAACATAAACCAGGAAATTGAATCGCATTTATGGTATTATGTACAATAAGATGGGGTAAATAAAGCTCATTGAGTGAGCCCAGCCAACAGTCAAGCGTTCCCGTCTTGCTATGTCTTTGTTGCTCTCTTTTCATGATAGATCGTGCATCGTAGGGTTGAAATTACATGCTGCATAGTAGATGACCTATGTGTTTTGGATACTTATGGTCTGCAAGAGCAAATTTCATTCATCAAGTGCTGCATTTACTAGTTTAATTCCCAGAAGGTAAACTGACTGTTATATTTTTCAGTTTCTTGGAGAACTTCAGAGCTACCCTTTCACTAGTGGTAACAGTACATATAGATTACATTTTCTTTATATAATTTTGTTTCTTCCTTGACTTCAGGAAGCAATAAAATGCCAGGGTCTTGTTTTCCTACTCGTAGGCTGATTTCAACTTTATTTTCTAACTGTTGCCCTTTACCTTGGATGACTACAGTTTCCAATCTTCATTCTTTACAGTTGGAGAAGAACTAAATTAGACAGGACTATCACCTCCTTTGTCCTACATACTATACTTCTATTATTATTGAACTTAGTGTTAATTAGAGGTATTTTTATTTGTGCTTCTCCAGTTATGTACTGGATATCTTCATTGCCTATCATATAGTTTTATCTTTTAGCATTTCACCCTTGTAGAGTTAGGCTGTTGAGATTGTTTTATCTTAATCATCTTTAATTTACAAATTTGATAAGCATGAAATTTTAACGGGGCTTTAAGTTCTCCGTTCTTATTATTAATATAGTAAAATGCTTAGGAGTTTTCATAAGGAAAAAAAATCAGTGTTAAGGAAGAGGATTTGAATCACATGCATTTTATGTGTGGAAAAAAGTAGGTGACAGTAAGTCTATAAAATTTAGACCTATCTAAGGTCACTTTGTATTTCAGGATTTTTTTTTTTTTTTTGCATCTATGTGGATTTTACCGAGACACAAGTGAAATATTCTTCAACAACGGAGTGAACGGTTTACACAGAAGACTAGCATGTGAGCTCTTTGCGGGGAGCTCTTTGTGTTTGGCAATATTTGGATTTTATCAGAATGTTGTATTCACTTTTTCTTCTTGCCTTTGGAGAGTGCATATAGAGATGGGAAAAGGTTTAGAGAGAACAACAAATGCAATAAAACATTTTGAAAATGAGTCCAATTTGAAATTCTAGAACAGTTGAATTTGTGCAGCTAGACAAAGAAAAATCTTTGCGATAGGAGAAAGGCCAGAATCATAAAGGATTTAAAGGAATACAATATCATATTAGTGATGGGCAACTGCTTCTCTTAGATTCATCTGAGGATAAAACAAGATACAACCTGTTTAAATTGCAGTGAGAGGAATTTAGCTTCAAAGTAGGGAATAAACAACCTTACTAAAATCATGTCTACATGGCAGAAATCATTGTAGCTTCCTCATATTTTAAGGTAAAAAGGCCTGTTTTGTCTGTTGGTCATTAGATTGGTTTTAAATTCTTTTTCTGCATTTCTTGCCTATAAAATGGATAAAAGGATAAACAGGATTATTTTAACTGTCTTAATTTAGGCCTGTTGTCATGTCATGGGAATGCCTTTTTGGGGGGGGGGAGTTGTGAAACTAAAACAGATCTGTAGAATGGGTCTTCCAACAGCTCCCCCTGGTGGCTCTTTTAGAGCCCTCACTATCTAATATGGTAGCCATGAAACATTTGTAGTTACTGTGCATTTGAAATGTGGGTAGTACCATATGTTAAAATATATTTTGGATATATAGGATTAAGTAAAATATGTTATTAAAGCTAAATTCACCTTTTTCTTTTTATGTTTTTGATATGGCTACTAGATAATTTAATATTACAAATGTAGTTTGTATCTTATTTATATGGTGAACTAGACAGGGGATAAATAAATTTTTTTGTGAAGAACCTGTTATGGTTTGGATATTTTACTCCTCCAAACCTCATGTTGAAATTTCATCCCTAGTGTTGGAGGTGGGGCCTAATGGGAGGTGTTTGGGTTATGGGGGTGGATCCCTCATGAATAGATTAATGCCCTAGGAGAGGTGAGTTCTTCCTCATTTATTTCTCAAGAGAGTTGTTCAAAAGAACATGGCACCTCCCTCCCCTCTCTCTCTTGCTTCCTTTCTTGCCATGCGACCTCTGTACACATTGGCTCCATTTCATGTTCCACCCAAAGTGAAAGAAGCCTGAGGAGCTTTCATCAGATTCTGAGTCTTCCAGACAGCAGAATTATAAACCACATAAACCTCTTTTCTTTATAAATTACCCAGCCTCAAGTATTCCTTTATAGCAACACAAAATTAGACTATGACAGGACATGACCAGATGGTAAATATTTTAGGTTTGATTCAGGCAAGATCTTTGCTGTTGTACCTATTCAACTCTGCTGTTAGAGCACAGAAGCAAGTATAGACAATTCTTCAATGGGGGTGGTTGTGTTCCAATAAAACTTTATTTACAAACGCAGGCAGATTAGAATTGATGCATTGTCTATAGTTTGCCAATTTACGATCTAGACAGTCTTCATCGGACTTGAAGATCATGACATATTGAGAGGAACTGGCAAAATAGTAAACATCTCCCCTTTCCCTTTATATCTGAATTTTTAATAAAGCAATTTATCCCAACCTCTTCTGCACTATAGAGAATATAATCCAAAAGACCTGTATCAAATCTGTTCTCTGATAAAAACCAGAAACTCATATGTGTTTGCAAAACCACCCTTTGTAGAAGAACAAATGTGCATGTTTTGGCTTCTAATTTAATTAAGATTTTTAAAATGGAATTTTCTTTAACTAATGCATTTGTATGTTCATCTTTATTTGAACACATGAAATTGATTATAAATAAAGAATGCATTTGCATTTATTTACATTCCAGTTCATTTTTCTAGAAATATGGGTGTATTTTTTTTAACCTTTAGTTGACCTTAGAGTGATGTCTGTTTGGTGCCATTTGCTGTAAATTCTTAATAGAACTTTATCCTCCTACTTCTCATAAAACACACAGGGTGCATTGGTAGACTACAAATTGAAAATTGGATCCCACTACTACCTATCACCTTATCAGAATGAAAAATTAGTTCTTTTATATTTTATGACACACAAAAATAACCAAAATTGAAACTGGCATAGTTTCCAAGTTATGAGATTTGAAAATTTGGCCTATAAAAATATTAAATAATAATTCAATTGTAGCAACATTACATGTAAATTGGCTAAATTTTTATTAAACTATATT